CAGAACAGCCTCCCAGAGGCCAGCGCCAACCACCCTGATGAAGAACAGGTCCTGCGATGAAGTCTTCAGTGCCGATGGACAACTCTGACGAAGGTACAGGCAGCTATGGCTGCCACCACCCGCGAACCACTCAGTGTAGAGCCTCAACGTAGCCCGGCCATACGCAGATACCCCCAGGGGTAGATGCGCTGAGGATGCCCCAGCTGTGGCAAGCTCAGAGAGGGCCGGCTATGGCCGCTGTTGCGGTCTGTCTCAGGATGCCGCCGGTAGACAGGTACCGCCACCAACTTGCTTGGCTTCTCCAACGCTGTTCGCGAGAAATGAACTGCCAAAAAGCCCTGAACCGATGGGCCTAACCTATCTATAGACTACTAGGACCTAGACCGGACTGACTGACCGACCGGTACCGTTGCTGTTTCGGCCTCTCGGCCTCTACCGGACCCGGCTATAGGCTATAGGACCGTCTAGCAGCATAGGCCGCTTAGGGCCTGTCTGTCCTAGGGGTAGCCCGGGCCTGCTATCAGCAGTTAGGGTAGCTGTAGGAATTCAGGTTAGTACTGGGCCTATATTTTCCCAGATTTACAGATCTGTCCCTCAAGAATTTCCCTACAGGCAGGTCTCTCGGTTAGCCCTCAGCCAAACAAAATTACGATTCTAACCTACCGGGTTAGTGTACAGCCTCGCTGTTAATCTCGACAGCAGAAATCAGCAAGTCATTGCAACGGCATCCCATGTCGACATTGAGAACTAATCAGTAACTCGTAATCATGCAGTTCAGCCATGGCCGCTCCATCTCCAAGTTCGCCCAATTGAAGAGAAGCCAAGTAGTCACTGCAGGTCCTCCTTTCACTCATCATCTAGGTGTGAATCACCTCTCACTATCTTTCCCCTCAAATCACCTCAAACTGACACCCCCTCTGTCTTGCCACTCCAAACACACCTCCATATCTGGATAATGTCATTGACCGGCCTCCCAAGCCCTAATCCAGGTGGGGGCAGCTCAGCAGCTTCTCGTCACCTCACTTACCCACTAACCAAGCCCTGATCCAAGTCTAATTGTGCGAATCACCTCGGATTAGGGTTAGGGCAGCCAGATAACCTCTCGCCAACCAAGTAAGTCATGCTCCAATACGAATTGTTATGATCCTGGAAATCTCACTATGCGAAAACTCAGAAAGGACAATGCCGTTCAATTGCGACTCAAATGAAAGAGATTGCAAAGAGAAATAGACAAGGGAAGAAGTAGAATGGAGAATGGAAGAAGAAGAAGAAGAAGAAAGAAATGAACACAATCGGGAACCAATGTCACTCCTGCATCTCGCCACCCTCTCTCTCCCCTTTCATCTCCACAAACACCTTATTAATACTAGTAAACAATATGAATGGATGAATGAATGAGCCAGAATCAGATGTCTGAATCTCCTCCTTACTGGCAGCATCACATGAAGTCAAACCTTTGACCTCCTAAACCTCCTATCACTGCTTGGTTGATCGCAAGAAGTCACGTCTGACCTCCTACAACTCCTACCACTACTTGATTGATTATCCGGCTATGGGGGCGGCATCCAGGCATAGCCCAGATGTTGCAAAGATATCACAAAGCTCTTCTAGCTCCTATGACTTCTACTGCTAAGTGACTTCATCATCTGGAGTGCTCCGTACATCCGTACCCCAACCAGGGGCCTTCCAGGTGTAGCGGCTAACCAAGGAGATGAAGATGAAGTCCACTGTAGCCAAGGTTTCTCTTTCACTCTGGTCCTCCTTCTTCCTCCACCTCCCTCCTTGTTCTTCCCTCACTTCTAGCCATGCCTTTCTCCTACCTCGCCCTGGTTTTAAACACCATGGCCAGGGTGGGTGGCGGCTCCACCTTGCTGTTGCTGCTTGGCGCTCCACCCGCCAAGCGCACGGTCCAGCAGCATTGTTGCTTGGCCACACGGAGAATGAGGTGGAGCAACTCACCGCTCCTCCTCAAATACTTTTGGCCACTGCCTCTTCCTTTGGTGACTTTCCAAACAGCACGGCCTCCCAGGCCTACTGGTTCCCTTCTTTTTTGACGGGAACCGCATTGTGGTCTGATATTCTCCCTGCAGACCCTAGAGACTTAGGCTTTCCCAGGCCAGTACTTTCCCCAGACCTACCCCAGGACCTACTGGACCTTGAATCCTATTTCGGCCTACCCGAAAGGTACTATCCTTTTGTCCTTTTCTGCCGACGCCCGCTGTTACTCGGTTTTTAGCTACCACGGGCATACTTTCCCCTCTAAGCTGCCCACTGCACAAGTCCATGCATGGCACAGGGTTAGTACAAGACCCGTGGGCCTCAACACACACCAGTCCACGCACTCAACCGCACACACACACACACACACACACACACACACACACACACACACACACACACACACACACACATAAATATATGTATATACAATATATTGTCAAGTGTGCCGCTTCGGCAGCAGACGGGTGTGTGGGGCCCTTGGCGCTGAACCACACAAACGTAGCCAACCTTGCATTTTCCATTATATTGTCTATCTATACTTTTTCGTTATGGGTGGTTTGTTATGATTTGTGGAGGAAATGAGAGAGAGAATTTGGGGTGCTTTAACAACACACATTCCAGTCTTGCTAGCTCGCTGTCTTGGCAGATTTGAGCGGTTAGGATCGGGCTCGTACTAGTGAGCTACTCTTTCTCTGTGCATGGATGTGTGTTGTTGGTTTGTTTTTTTATACATGACCTAATTTTTTGCCATGCAGCATGGGCTGTCTTGTTGATGAAGCAATGTCTGTGGGTGCCCAGGAGTTTTTTTCTGGGGTGGGAGTCTGGGGTTTTGGCCACAATATCTCTGCGAGGAGGCTCAGAGAGTGTTTGCTGTGGGTGTCATTCCCACGGGCTGCTCTTTCAGAGCACATGAAAGAATGGGGTAGCTTCTAGGGTGTTTTAAGCAGTACCGCTCCTGGTGTCGGGTGGAGATCTTGTGGAACTTCGCATAGCACTGGCAGTGGCCTCGCTTGTAGCACTAGGACATCGTCCGATTCTGCAGGTTGCACGGCAGGGGGAGGTTCACGGCACTCTTGGTGTTGCGTACAGGTCCCTCGGTGTATTTTTGATTTGTGGTGGCGTTGTAGGCTGGCGCAGAGGGCTCTAATTTTTTTTTAGGCCATTGGCATGTGTGGTCGGTGCTTTTTTGTTAGTGGAGCCGTTTGTGTTATGCTGTTTTGTGGTTTCGTGGGCGGCGTGGACGGCTCTCCAAAGTTTTTCCGGACCTATTGCGGATGGGGTCGGTGCTTTCTTGCTGGTGGAGTCCTCTGTCTTAGGTAAGTTGCTTCTTGCCCTCCACCCTTTTATGGATCAGATAAATATATGTATATGTGTGTATGTGCAAGTGTGCCGCTTCGGCGCCAGACGGGTGTGTGGGCACTTGGTGCTGCATCACACAAACGTGGCCAATCTTGCATTTCTATTATATTGTCTATCTATACGTTTTCGTTATGGATGGTTTGTTATGATTTGTGGAGAAAATGAGAGAGAGAATTGGGGTGCTTTAGCAACACACACACATGCACTTGGGCAGCCACACACAGCACACGGACTCAGACAGCAGAAATCCAGCAAGCACGCAGAACGGCGGCAAAATCTCAGAAAAGCACAGGTTTCACAGTCTGCAATTGTGCAGGTTATTACATCTTTGAGCTCTCTCATCGCATTGAGTATTCCTTGGTCTTGCGCACTGCCTATCAACTGATAGGCATGCATCACATGGAGTTACACCCAGTCTGCATCAGAAAGAAGAATCAACAGCGCATCTGTGGTGGGACTTCTTATTCTCACCAAAATGTGGAGGTGGCGGGTGGCACCCTGGAGTAGGTTCAGCAAGTCCACCTCACAGTGGACTGAAGAGTATGTTTTCAACTTTTCACATAAACAGGATTGGAAGTATGTGGGACAGGCCTCCAGAGGGGCGATAATGGCGGCACTCTGCAGGAACAATGAAGTCTTCAGAGATGAGAAGGTCTCACACTTTCAGCTGAAAGAAGGGATTAGGAACAAAAAGAAGGAAAATGTCCAGTACTGCGAAGCAGGCCCCAAACCAGTGCAATGGTACATGGACACTTGGGGGAAGAATTGCAGCTTGCTAAGATAAGAAAAAACAATGGTTCCCTACCGACGGGCCTAGCTCAGTTGGTACACCCTTGAACTGTTGAAAATTTGAAATATAGACCTGAGTTCGGACTCCTCTGGAAGCCAATGAATGAATTACCTAGGGCCGGCAACTTCCATGATCATATCTCAAGGCCATCACCCTTAAAAAAAAAAAAAAAAAAAAAAAAAGGTTCCCTTCAAATTGCTCCATCTGGTTTCCCAGAAACTGGCCTGAACGATACCACGGTTCCAAAGTAATAGGAGGGTCATAGTTGTCAGATATTTCTAGGAGAGGGGAACAAACTAGCACAGGTTTCTGTAGTTCAGTAGCGGACTAAGATCTTAAATTTTCTTACACAAGCTTGTAGATTTGTCCTCCATATGGTGTTATATCCAGCAGTTAATCCTCTTCCCCAGGGGAAGGGCAATCAATGCTCTGTTCAACTGAGGGGTCTGTATATATAATTGTATGCATTGGGACACTGTCATTCATCTCACTGTCACACCGTGGTTCATGATTGTATAGTAGTCCCAGATTGAAGGTGTGCCCCGATGTTTAAAAGGGGAAATAAAGAAAAAACTTCGAAAAAATGTGTGTCAGTGTGTGAAGATCAGAATAAATCCAAAATATGAAAATATTTAAATAAATAATTTAACAAATCGATAAAAATAATTAAAATAAATAAATAATAATAATAAAAATAAATATAAAAGATATCTAATAATGACCAACCAAGCTGGGCATTATACAAGTGTGTTGATCATCGTCACCTGCTGCAAGTTGTGTAAAAGGCTAGGCTGATGTGAACAAGTTAAATTTGCTGCTTGACTATTGCCTTTTTCCCCTCGCTGTGCAGGTTGCAGATATAGCTGTGTGGAGAGGGCAGAAAGGGCATTCAAGTTCTCTGAAGAAACAGGACGGGCAAGGGCAAGCGATGTTGGTTAGTGACATGCCCAGGACTGTGAATGCTAGTCAATGAAGGGACTTTATCTAGTCTGTTGTATAGTAGTTTATTGGCGGCTGGGGTAACGGCCCGTCCTGTCTCCATTGCATGCCACATCTCTGCCCACGTCGTTTCTGCTCTCTGACGTTCGATGTGTTCACCTCATCGTCATTGATCGCGAAGTTCACAAAGAACAACGTGCGGGAACTGTAGGATGTAAACACATTGCATAGTCTCACTGTGACACACTGGAATCGTGCGTGGAAGTCGTGTGATGTATTCACGTTGCATGGTCTTCTGTCATTCATCTCACTGTCACACCGTGGTTCACGGCGTCGTTTGGTGTCAGTAGTTCGGTATTTCCTTTCTTTGTTTTCTCACTTGACACCCATGTAATGAAGCCTGCAGATTCTCAGTGGACTGTACATTGGGCCGAGGGCGAAGCTCGGGGCTTGCCTCGGTCGGGTCACGTCTTAGGTTAGATTCGTAATTTTGTTTGACTGAGGGCTAACTGCGACAGCTGACTGTGAGGAAATTCGTGAGGGACATATCTGCAAATTTGGGAAAATTCTAGGCCCGCACTAACCGAATTCCCTACAGTTACCCTAACTGCGTATAGCAGGCCCGGGCTACCCCTAGGATGGACAGGCCCTAAGGGCCTATGCAATAGACGGTCCTATAGCCTATAGCCGGGTAGGGAGAGGCCGAGAGGCCGAAACTGAAACGATACCGGTCGGTCCAGACAGTCCGGTTCAGGTCGTGTCTAGGTTAGTGTAGGTTATAGATAGGATGGGGACATCGGTTCAGGGCTTTTGGCAGTTGGTATCGAGTACATCGCTGCTGTACTACACGTGAACCGTAAGTGGTGATTCGAGGTCTGCTGGAGGCGAGAGAAGTTGGTGCCCTGCTGGACCCTCCTCTGGAGTAGGGTTACAGGGTTGTGGCGCTGCAGCCATAGCTGCAGCCTCTTCCTCAGAGATCATCCTGTCAGGAGTGGTGGCGTTGCTGCAGACTTCCACCCGGGGAGTCGTTCGACACTTCGTCGTCATCGGATATTGTGGCGCTGGTCTTCGTCTTCATCCACTGACTGTCGCTTGGCCTCAGAGGCCTGTTTCAGGGTGGCGCTTCCCTCTGGAGGCTGTATCTGGGTGGCACTTGATGTTTCAGGGACTCAGGGGTAGTAGTAACGGTTCATCAGGGTTGGGGAGTGAAGCGCTGCTCATTTCTGAGCAGCGCATCATAGTTCTGAGGTTAACCTGACAATTCGAAACTCTGAGTTTAATAAACAGTGTTGATACTGGGTTCATACTATCATCGTTTCATTATTTCTTGGATGTGATCTTCTCGGCTTTCCTTTATGACTGGTTGTGAGGATTGAGTGGAGTGAATTGCACTTTCAATGTACCCTGTCATATCGCATGGTCAAGTCTTCCGCTGTGTTTATCTCTCCCTGTGCGTTGTGATACTCCTATCCTCTCCCCTTCCTTCTGTGTATGTATGGGCACACATGAGAGTCTATGTGAGTGAGTGTTGGTCTTCAGACAACAGACAACCAAAATCATAACAGTTGGTATCGGAGCAATTGGATCCAGACTCTGGAGCGATTGATGAGTTGGAGCAACTATCACTATCTAGCGAGACACTGGAGTTGAGATTTATGGCGAATTATCATCTTCAGGGTTGGCGACCGTGAGGGTGGTGGTGGTGAGTGTGTGGCGAGAAGAATTGGACAGAGGGTGACACACTCCTCCGTAGGGTTGTGCAGGAGTGGTTGGCGATTGGTGCTCAGAGGCCTGAGAGGCTCCGAGAGACTATTTTTAGCCTAGCGATTCATCTGGAGGCTGGCGATTGGCAAGAAGTGATCCCAGGGTCTTGCAATTTTGGAATTGGGTCAGGATCCCGAATTTCCAAGCAGCGTTGTACATGGTGAAGTGGCGCTGCACTGAGTTACTCAGTTATCAGCATCTGGGAGTCCTAAGTTTGTGTTTCTGTCCATTGAGGGTGAAGTGCCTCAGGGTAATCTGTTGGATCACCAAGTTTCAGGAGGTTTGGTACGTGGGAACACTAGGAATGAACCGAGGATGAAACTAGTGAGATGGGGTTGACCAGACAGCCATAGCCAGAGTTTCATACATCTTCTTCAGAGATAACCCTGAAGTAAGTGTGTTCCTTACTCTACTCTGTGTGGCAATTCTAGTACTATTTTTAGATTAGCGAAATATGGTCTGTTAGTGTGTTGACAGTTGAAAGTCGAAATTCAGACTGTGGGACAGCCGTAGCCAATTTCCCCTACCCATCTTCTTTGACTTCTACTAACCCTGTTTGACCTCCTTTCTGACTCAAATTTCATCTGGGACTGCTTTACAGTATTGCGATTCATACTATGTAGTGAATTGGTGAGTTCAGGGTCCTGTTGTCAGTGATAATGCAAATTTGAATTTTGCGCTGCCATAACTGAAGCTAGGCTAGACTAGGGTCAATCATAACTTCAGTTTTGCCAGTCATAATTCAATTTTGTCAGTCCTTGGTAAATCGCAATTCAGTATACAGTCAGTGTCTGAAATCGCACAGTCAAATTTGATGTTCTAAGTCAGTTACAGTGAAAACTGTAATTCGCCATACCCAGGGTATGTCATACAGCGTCATACAGTGGTGAAGTCTGGAGGGTAGGTCTAAAAATAGGATTACCTGAAAATCGCTTCACCTTGGTCATCAGTGGACACCTGTTTATCCCTAATCAGTCACTCTATCTACTTACTAATCAACACTAATCAGTCCAGGACTGCATCCTGCAAGTTATTGGTGCAGGATCTGCAATTATTGCATTCAATTGTTGTGTCAGGGCATTGATTGGAAAATCGTGAAATGGATTTTTGTTAAGTCTAATCTAAACTGACCTTGACCCTCAAGCGGTTTGCAGAGACTGAGCACCCACTTGCTCAAACTAACCAACTTTCTGTCTCCAGACAGGTGATTGCAATTGAGTAGGTACTGAAGAGAAAACTCAATTCCTATTACCTCTTGTTTGTCTTTTGGTTATTTGTTTATTTTTATTTATCTGAATTGTGGGATACATTAAAATGGCGGATGCTGAGAAGGGAGAGGCCTCTGATGTGAAGCCTCAAATTCCGTTTGACCCTTTAGAGGTTGAACTGCATGCCCAGGAGGATAAACTCCAGCAGGCACTGGCAGTTGAGGCTCTAAAGGCTGAGCTGAAAAGAAAAGAAGAAGAAGCTCAGAAGGAGGCCAGGAGAAAGTTGTTGATTGCTGATGTTGAGAAGATCAAGACGAGTGGTACTTCCAGCCAGTACAATAAGGACATGGCTGAGTTCATCCTTTTACAGGATGATATTCACCGTTCTTATTTTACTAACTGGGACGAGAGGATCACCAGTCTGGAGAGCAGCCACTCAACTTTTTATAAGAAGCTGGATGACATCTCTTCCAAACTGGATCTGATCTTTACACATTTAAAGATCCCAACCACCCTGACCGTTCCTCGATCTCCTGGGCCCTCTCAAGCAGACCCTCAACAGCTCCCACAATCCAGACCCACATATCCTCCCTCTACACCCAAATCAACAACACCTTCACAACCCTCATCTCCATTTGATTTTCAGCGGCCCAAGCTGACCCCTCCACCTATGTTCTATGGCGAGGACCCAAAGGTGGATGTCGCAGATTGGGTCGCTGCACAACGAACCTACCTGAGTGGGTTCAAATGTGAGGAGGACGTGAAGGTGAGTGCCATCCTGGCTCGCCTGGAGAAGACTGCACTGAAATGGTGCACTTCTACCTCCAGCAAGCAGAAGATGGAAATGGTTGACTGGGCATAGCGGCTGGGGGTGTTTGGTTTCTGCAGGCACTGCAGGATAGATTTTCTGACAAGGAACAAGCCAGAAAAGCAGCAGATAAAATTTTGCAGTTGGGTCAGGAGAGATTCGATGGTTCCTTGTCGAAACTTTATTCAACCTTTGAGAGTCTTACATCGACTCTTGGGTTAGAGATGAGTGAGCAGGACTTGCTCATTCGTTTCTTGAGATCAGCACCTGAGAGATACCAGATTGCTCTCTTCTCTCAGGGTCATAAGGACTGGCGGTCCTTTGGCAGAGTAGCCCTGGACTTGGAGTCCAAACTCCATGTTCAGAAGCACCTTCCGAAGGAAGAAAGGGACCCTCCTCAAAGAGCGAAGAAGGAGGAAGGGTGCCCTGTTTGCTGCTTCAGCCTCAAGTTCAGATAATGATGCAGCATCCAGAGTGGGACCCCTCCATCTGGGACTGCCTCCTCATCTGCTGCAGATTCTGTTGTTCTTGCCTTGGCTAATGCTTTGATGGGATTGACTAATGGAAAGGCCCCAGCCCAGAAAGCATCAACCAGCAGTAAGCCGAAAGGAAAGGGACGTGCATCTTCCCCTACGGCCCAAAGAGTTCCTTTACCATGAGATGTCCGTTCGCCAGCTGACCTCCTTGATCCTTCCACCTTCCCCTGGCATGCACTCATGATCCAGGAGGGGGTTTGGAGGAAGAGAAAGGACAAGGGTGTCTGCTTGAAATGCGAGGGGGACCACTATTTGAAGGATTGTCCCCATATGCCTCGCAGACCTTCAGGCTCGAACTAGAGAGGAGAAAGGTGGAGTCTGCAGCTCCTACCATCTGTGTTGATTCATCGTCAGATGAAGTTGAATATTCACCCTCTCTAGCTGATTCATTGAGGAGTTGCAGCATCGGGGTCCTTCACGTATGAGGACACTGATTTGTGGCAGGTCTAGGGATGGCACAAGTTAAGGGTCGCAGCCCCTTTGACTTGTGACCGGACTTCTCTGAGGAGATGTTTCCTACTTCCCTGGACAAGCGTATTTGTGCTGCGTTGTCAGAATTTGCTGATTCAAATTCAGGCCATACTCAACGTCCTGACTAGTGTTAGCTGTTGGTTGGCAAGTTTCCCTCGTCTTGACGCTGAGTGGTGTAAGCCATTGCTCCAGGCTTTCAACATCTTGC